ATGTTCGATCCCTTGTTTGACTGTGGGTACACATATTTTAGGAGTTCTTTATTGGGACAGAACAGCTATCTACTACTTTACAATTTTTAGCCGAATTTTGCTACACTCAGCCTGTGATGCAAACTGCAAGAGATTTGTATATATATATTTCCATGGACTATATTATAAGGTAAAAGTAACTGATATTATCTGAGTATCTACAGCTTCTTAGTTAAAAACAATCTTCAACATATAATTAATTGAGGTAGATACCTATCTCTACCGACACGGATTAGCTCCACTTGTCACAGCTTCTCACTAGAACTCCGAGAATTCTCTAACGAAGCTAGTCATTAGTGAGGACATGGTAATTATCAGTGTAGGGTTGTGGAGACTATTAAGTTTTTTGATTGTGATCATGAACCGATTGGTGTTAAACCATCACTGAAAACCTGGAAGCACTGGATGGCCATTTGGTCCCATCGTGGGACTCCTCAGCAGTGAGCATTCACGATCCCGCTCGGGAATTCAAACTCAGGGCCCTCAGTCTCACACGCGATGCTTAACCTCTAGATCACTGAGTCGGCATCCAATGATGTTAATGTCTAACCTCAACCAATCGACGAAATTGTGCGACTATCTTCCATTATACTGAAGTAGATACATTACTAATATGAAACAATAGGTTACAAATAAGGTTAAATAAGAATAATGTACAAAGACTTATATTAAAACAAAATAAATCTTATTTTAATTTGTAATGTAAAATTTAAAATACATGTATTTATCATTGATTATGATAAAGAAAATCAAAAGTATTTTCCCCTTCTTTGGTAACCCTTATTCAACTGCTACATACATGTTATAGATCTTGAATTTAATTCAATGTTTTAAGGGTGTGTTTTCTCTCTCTCTCACACACACAACTATAATTAAATCTATTACATTTAACCGTATTTTCATTACTACATGTGTGAACATTAAGTATAAAACAGAGAAGGTAATACGATAAAAATTGTTTATTATTTGCATTTATGTATAAGATTGTGTAAAAGACAAGATTAAATAAACATTGGTATGGTCATAAAATAATCAGATTTGATTTAATGAAATACTTTAGCTATTTTGCATTATCAGTGATTAGATTTAGCCGAAGGTATAAGTAGATAAATAGGCAGTTTTATTTTATTTTATTTCATACCTATAAAATGTTGTTTAAGAAGATACCAGTATTGTATGAACTATAGAGAATAGTGAGGTAATACTATGGCATTGAGATTAAGTTTGCCTGGCAATGGTATCACGTTAAGCGCCAGATCAGAGACAACAATAACCAGCTGAATCCCCATTAACGCTCGTTTATGTGAGAAGGAACTTTATGGGAAATAACATAGTTTGATAATCTTAGCATATCTCCAAGCAGATTTCAATTCAGTTACAATCAAGAATGGGTCCAATCACTAACTAAATTCTTCCAAGAAAACACGTCTGATAGATATTGTAGATCTAAAGCGAGATTTCAGTCCACAGTTTAGGCGTCTGAGGACAGAGGGTAGTTGATGAGTATTCACATAAAGATGATCGTCCTCTACAGTTTTGTATGGATCATAACCTATTTCTGAACAGATCGAAAACACAATAAGCCTGTAGTGGCTGGTACTATGTTAAGTCCATATATGGCCACTGAACAGACCGATCTATTCATCCTCCTTAAACCACATTTTGACCTTGTTGATTATTTGCTTATTAACCATGACTGTGTTTATATGATCGTATGTGTGTTACTTGCTCATCCTATTCATAACGTGTCTGTAACTTATTTTTGTCTGGATATAAATATTGATTCACGCTTGATAAAAACGAGTTGGCTCATACGCCTTCTCTACTGCGCGTCACATCGTTTCTCTGTTTGTCTATCTGGATCAATGAGTGTATGAAATATGCGTATTCAAAATTCATTCTCATATTTGACTTATTTTATTGCGTTATTCTCTAACACGAATTAAGTCGATAAAAATATACGAGGGTTTGAGATGTTTATATTTCGATAACAATCAGCATGCGATTTAACTGGAGTCAGATATAGGACACTAAGTGCTGATCAACACATATGTATTGTAATAAAAGAGGATTTGAACATAGAGCACTCCCAATACGAGATTGTTAAGCTGTTTCTCCGAATGGTCGAAGACAATGAAGAGGAAATAAATGAATTTGTCAAAATACTGGATCGTAATCAGATGTAATTGTCAGTGTTCTAGGAAAAGAGCATCTCACATTTTACTTAATTCTTTCAACTAAAATAGTCAGTTGACGGGCAAAGTAAAAATATTAGAAGGCGGAAAAAGGCTAACGTGTATTAAAGTTCCCGATATAAAACAAGATATTAGGCAACGAAATAATGGAATGCTTGGTCTCAGTAACTTTTGAGATATTTAGTCATTCCCAGAAATTTTTTAGCTACATCCTCAGTAACGTGCTATAACTACTAGGCTATTTGTTTACCGATCATTTTTAATGATTTTAAGATATTGGAATACATCAGATTGTATAGTGTTTTACACTTCTATAGCTTATTAAACAGATGGAAAATCTGCAAAACTGAATCGATATTTTCAGAAGAATTGCGTTAAAGCTGGGAATCTAAAACTCTCTGAATCAAGGCTCGATAATTTGTAGTTACTTTGAAAGGTAGAAAGCAAATACATTTGCAAATAGAATCAGAAAGAGTTGAACTATCTACTCAAAAAGATTGTTTGGTTTTCACAACTGCTTGTTAGTTCCTTTGCTTTTATGAAGCATTTTTCTCAGAAGACCAAGTTGCCTGTGCATAGACTATGCAAATAGATAGAAATCAGTAATAGAGCATCATAGTTACCCTAATTTATAGTCCCCGATGATCGTCTAAGTAATTTCACCTTCTGCCGAATATTTAAAAAGTAGTTAAGAACAATTATATAATACATATAAGCGATTAATCTTTCAACAGTTTATGGTACTTCAAATTTATTTATTAAACATAATTTGGTTACTCATGAGTAGATAAAATCTACTTGCAGATTCCTTTTTATATCCGAGTCAGTGATTAATTTTCGTAAAACAGTGGGAACAGGATTTGGTCATATGAGATTCAATAAACATATTTCACTACTTACTAATAATTTTAAATAGACCGATGGGAATGAATGAACAATGTCGTTATGTGGTTATGAATATTCTTACTTTTAGAAATCATTAGAATATCAGAAAAAATCTGATTTCTAGATCGCTTCCTCTATGACTGATTTCATTTGGGGCACTATATAGAAATATGGTTTACTGGAATGATGTTTCATCCTAGTATGGGACTACTTTATATTGTTCATCCATAATCATGTTAGGGACAGAATCCTGAACCTTCATGTCTTACGATAAACATTTAACCATTAGGAACACTGGATCGATGTCCACTTGTACTATTTTAACTTTAACCAGTATAGCACTGATATGACGGGAAGAAAGTCAAAATTCGATTGGTTTACTCATTATGATTTTTATTCAACATTAATTCCGTTTTAAAATTCAGTGTCATGAATACTAAGTATAGTATTTGTTTCTGTTTTCCCATATGACATTTCATTCTGTATAAATTACGATATTCTTGCATTCAATTGACATAACCTATACTGAGCATATGATTTGTTATAACTAAGTATTTTTCATACATGTGATTTTTATTCTAATTATTAATCGAGAATGGGTGTATAAATCAACACATAAATGAATGTATTTCCAACTAGGGTCGTCGTCATCGTGCTATGGTGATAATAAATCTTCACTTATACCATTCATTGTGTTCTTACTTTCGCATCGAGGGAATTGTAGTGGTTCCTCGCTTTACAAGTATAACTGATAAACGATTCCGACATAACAATCAACGACAATCAGATATGACAAGTAGCATTCAATAAGGAAGATATATTAAGCACAAAAATAATTCAATTCAAATAATGAAATTATAGCGGTAAATAAATCTCCAAAATAAATAGCTCTGTAAGTCTTCGGCATTGGATGCTGACTACATTAGTTTTAATAGACTCACCTAGCTGAAGGCGCTCGGTCATGCATCCACACCAGTGAGAACACCATGCTCAACATCCCATCCAATCGCTAGTCAGTCTAGATCAGTCGATCCTCGATATATTGATAACCTATCAAATATATCTTCGAACCTCCTCGCTTCTGTCTTTTGATTTCACATTGTGGATACGACTCATATTAGGTGTAACTGGTTAAAGCGCTGTCAACTTCCAAATACCTGTGGCATTTTTAACACCTATTTCACTCCTAACATTTCTGAACTACACTAATCACCACAAATACCACCTATATGTTGGATCAACTTTCACACAATACCTTGAAACTTATTATAGAATGTAATATACGATTTCTTTTCATTTCTCATTGTCCTAGAAAATTCTATTTCAGGTTAATTTAATGTTTAGAACTTAATATAAATAATAACACTATTCATGTATATTATATATTTATTATTGTTCTAAATCATTTAAACAAAAATAATATTAGATAGACTAGATTCATTCATGTTAAATGAATAATTCATAAAAGGTCAGTAATTGACTGAAATAAAATATAATTCGGTGAATAGTTGTTTATTGATAGAAATTAATGAAACTATTAATTTCTATTGTTAGATTTACATTATGCAACAAAAGAATTTGTAAAAAATTAAATGAGGTTACTAAAGAGTTAAGAAAGTAAAATAAAAGATTCCAAAGTGATGACTTAAATAATGTGTTTTTTGTATTTTTTTAATTTTTTGTTTCTTCTTTTGTTTCTTTTTTTGTTTTTTTTCAATTTTTTGTTTCTTTTTTCTTTGTTTTTCGTTTTTTTGTTGTTTTAATCTATAGTTACCTGAATGACAATAATACTTGACTATTATGATTTTCATCTATATAAATACGAATAATATTAGTTAAAAAAAATGTGAATTTCATGTAATCTAAAAAAGTTAACATAAAATGATACAGATTACTTATCAACTATTTGTTATTTGGATGATAAATATAGTTGTTTGTCAGAAACTATTACATATTGGTAAGTTATTCATGTAATACAAAGTAATATGTCTTCAGTTATTTAAAAAGAAAATATTATTTTAGTGATTGATTTGATTGAAATTGTACAAGTTTAATCTATGAATAACTTTGATATTTGTACTTATCGAAGATTTGTATTTTCATTAAGCATTATTATTCATCTAAAGTATAGTATTCAAGTATAGAACTGTTATAAGATAGTTAAATTAAAATAAAGTACCTTAAAATTTGAAATGATCTATATGTATGTATGATAATTATACTGGAAGAAATTGACTGAAACTAGTGGTCAGTGAACAATGGTATTGGTTTTATTATTTATTTATTAAACTCTCAAATTAAACACATTAATATTCACTATTGAATCTTATAGAATTTTCTAAATAAGCAAATTGTTAAGTTTTTGTTAATATTTATTCTGGATTTTAATACTACTGTAAAAAAGACGATGTAAACTATTAAAATGGTTTTTAAGAAAATATATTTCTTTTGAATATCATGTACTGATTTCTAAGGAGTTATCGAATTGTATTAGTTATTATTAGTAATATTTAGATTGTGGTTAACAGAGGAATCCTATGCCATGATCAACGAATAACAGAGATAGCTGCTGTTAAATAACTTTAGATATGAAGTATTTATCAAATAAAATCTCGCGAGGTGGGATTATGGATGCACATTACTGAGGAGTTCCACAATAGAACGAAATGACCGTCCAGAGCTTTCAGGTTTTCCACGATGGTCTAGCTTCAATTGACTCATGAATTCAACTGTTAAATTACTATAATATCCACAAAACCGTTCTGTGATTAAAATAACAATATCCAAATATCGCAAGGGTTTTTTTGTGGAGATTGTAGTAATTTAATAGATGATAGTTCATGATTCAATTAAAGCTGTTCAATGTTTCCAGATTTCCCATGGTGGTCTAGTTTTAATTGACTCATGAACTCAACTATTTAATAACCAAATATGTATCAATATTGACATACAATACATGTTAATAGTTTAGAGATATTGATTCCAGTTTCTTTTGTTGAATATCTCAAAATCACTTGTCCACTATTCTCAAGTTTTTAACGGTTTTTGTAGGTGATTTCAGTTTGTTATAAAATTTTTTTATAGATCTTAAGGAGAAATGGAGATCGAAATAGTTCGCACAAGATAAACATATACCAATAGAAAATGATCGATTCCAGTTGTGAAGATGAATGAGATAATCTAAATAACCAACATATATGAATAATAATTTTATAGATTAAATTCATTATTTTGGAAATATGAACTCAAATGTAATATCTAACCTATTGTTGAAGTTACGCAATATTCAGAATATGTTTATTTTTATGATATATGTATATTATATTTTTAAACAAATAGTTTAGAAGCTTCAATTTAATTTTTAAATCCAGCGGATAGTGATCTTTATGACTTAACTAATCAGATATTTTAGTGGAGTTTTGTTCTCTGATCTGGATGGTTTGGTTGTGGAGCTATCATCGATATTCTGAACGACACCATCAGCATAAACTTTAGGTACTAATGATGTATTTCATTGAGAATAACGATGATAGCTCCACAATCAAACCATCCAGCTTAGAGAACAAAACTCCGCCATAATCATCCACTTAAGTCACAAATCTTTGCCACCATCTCATAGTTAGACATTTATTTCACAATTTATAATTTCGATCAATTTGGTATTGAATACTGAACAGAAATTATATATACATTCATGAATGTTACAGTCATTTACTTATTGAACTTTAACACCTTAATATCAACGTGATATGCAGCTGACAGATTTGCCTCTCATCAAACATTATTGGACTTTATTGTTTAACATTTATTGTTAAAATTCGATCATGATCTGTGTTAACTTGATTATTTAACTGTTAAACACAATTACACATATGTGTATGTTTTAAATGTAATTGTTTTGTTTATTTCATTTATAGGTATTATCTATGATAGTGAATTAGGTATAACAGGAGAAGCTTTAATCAACCGATTAAGTGAATTACAGGAAAAAATGGAATACTATGCAGATTTCCCAATACGAAATTATTCATTGGCAAGCCCGCCTAAATTAAAATTAACTATAAGAGAATTTACTTTTGGTTTAGGTAAGTGGTAAACATCTTTTATTGAATAGTTTGATTTCTTTAACATTGAAATGTTTAATGTGTTCTGGGAATTATTTTAAGTAAGGTAGTGCTGTTACTGTTACATGTGTTGAACCTTTCCAAGCCTAAGCTGGTATTTTAAATTTTAAGTCATATTATTAATTATATGGATTAATTTAATGTATATTTAAGTATTTCTATTTATAAATGATTAATCATTAAGTAGTGACCAATGTCATGTATGCTAACTTTTTTTAGTGCTCATCGAATTCTGTTCAACCAAATTGCCATAAGGCTACTAGTCTAACTAACTCAATGTCTCGTGCACTATGTTGGGATATAAAATGTCCTGCCGACTACTTTCAAACACTATCTTAAGTCATTTATATGCTTTGCAAATGAATATGTGCTATTTTCTGAATCATAGTATGATAAAGAAATTTATACATTATGAGTTATTTACAGACCATAATTCTCTAATGGTTAGTTAATTTCAATGTTAAGATCATGAGTCAGTTGAAGCTAGACCACTATGGAAAACCTGGAAGCACTGGACGGCCGTTTAGTCCTATTGTAGGACTCCTCGGCAGTGTGCATTCACGACCTCACCCCCTGCGGGATTCGAACCCAGGACCCACTGGTTTTCGCGCGAGTACTTAACCACTAGACCAGTGAGCCGTGGATGTTCATTGTTGAGGAGTTCCACAATAGGACGAAATGACCGTCCAGTGCTTCCAGGTTTTCCATGGTGGTCTAGCTTCAACTGACTCATGATCTTAACCATTGAAGGTACTATAATATCCACAAAACTCATCTGAGATAAATTAATTGTTTTAACTGGCTCTCAGTCATATTGTAAATTACATGTGTTTTTATCTAGTCTTTCTATACTTCAAATAAATTAGTTCTTACTTATTTGAATGTGCAACTCATTGATTATCTTATAATCGCACACAATTCTATTTAAATCTATTCATAAATAAAATACTTTATTCTTACAGATACCAGTCATATTTATTTATGTATGATTGTGTACCAGTTGAAGTTGGATTAGATCACTTAAGGTGCCATCATTATACTTTTGGTACTTTGGTTCACTACTATAAATTAATTACAATTAACATTATAGTGACGTTTATTTTTTAGTGTTCCAGATTTTGTTAGTACAGAAGAGATAGATCAAATTGGTCATTATGTGTTCATTATAAATTTAGATTAGGAAAACATTGTTCATAATTTTTAAACTCAATTATATATTCTAAGCCAAAATTAGAATGATCTCGTTTCAAGTAATTCGATAAGAAAACATTTTCCATTGTCATTAGTACAATATGAAACGACTAAGTACAGGTCGATTTGTAATAATTTGCTAACATTTATTGTCACCATAAGCGTAAAATCAAAGGTAGAATAAATAGATTACCAAAATGCTTTCATTCAACTCACTAATTTAGTATGATGATCTATGCATTTCTGAATGAAATGTACTCTAATAATTTGCATTATATATTATTAATCCTTCATCATATATAATCAGACGGTTATAGGTAATAAATTTCAAAAACTACTTAACTAAGCAGTAATCATGTTCCGACTATACAACGAATTCAAGAGAACGTATTAATGACTTCTAGTGACAAGTTATGGATTGTTACCCAGAAGTGATATTTGGTATTTGTTATATTATGTAGTATGACAACCTGAACCAACACAAGAGAAAAACCAAGGACCTCAAATTCAGAATGGAGGACACCAATCCAATCACTCTTGATGGCGAAACTCTGGAAGATGTAGAGTCCTTCATATACCTGGGAAACATCATCGATGAACAAGGAGGTTCAGATGCAGATGTAAAGGCGAGGATTGGCAAAGCAAGGACAGCATTCCTACAATTGAAGGATATATGGGACTGAAAACAACTTTCAGCCAATATCAAAGTGAGAATCTTCAATACGAACGTCAAGGCAGTTCTACTGTATGGAGCTGAAGTTTGGAGAACTACAACAACCGCCATCAAGAAGGTACGAGGATTTATAAATGGTTGTCTACGAAGGATACTCAACATCCATTGGCCGGATACCATCAGTAACAGCCTTTTGTGGGAGAGAATAAGTCAACCTCCAGCTGAAGATGAAATTATGAAAAGACGATGGAAATGGATAGGACATACATTGCGCAAATCACCAAACTGCATCACGATGCAAGCCGTAACTTGGAATCGTGAAGGGAAGTGGAGAAGAGGAAGGTCAAGGAACACATTACGTCGGAAAATAGAAGCAGATATGAAAAGGATGAATAACGAACCCAGAACAGGGTTGGGTGGAGAATGCTGGTGAGTGGCCTATGCTCCTTCATGAGGAGTAACAGGCGTAAGTAAGTAATTCAGTAAGTAATATTATATAGTGAATTGAATAAGTTGTATATATAGAAACCAAGAGATTTTAGTCTAATGGTTTGGCAATCTGTAGATTGTGGTGAGACCTGAAGGTCATAGGTTCGATCACGTGTAGGTCGCAATTAGACAAGACGAAGGATTCTCGAATGGTAATAATATGCTTTTTATTATTCTCTGGACCAAACGATGTAATAAATGACGCTTTTATTTTAAGTGATATGATGGATACAAGTTTCTATAAGATGATGAATCGACTCCATTTGATAAACAGTAATTAGCTCTATTAGTTGCCCTATAAATTTTGTTGCATGATGTTTTACTCGTGAGTGTTTTTACGTGTTCAGGAATTCCACTACTATTCAGTGTATTAGATAAAATTTATCCTAACATTTTTATGGCCACTTTATTTCTTAACATTACTTTCTAAACTCATTTGATAATTAGAAAGAAACTTCAGTGTCACATTTTACGCTTTTCATATGGCACAGAGTAGACATTAGTTTGATCTTTGAACGTTTTCTATTTATTAAACCAAGTATCACTCGGATCATTAAATGCATAAAAAGATATTTCCTAATTTTTTCTTATATTGATTTATTTTAAATAGTGTGTAATTTTGTTGAAAATGATGTACATGTGATTATAAGTTTAACAACATGTACCCTTGCACAGTTAATAGAAGCACAAGTTACACCATACAGAATACCACATATTGCTATACCTAGACCAGCATGTTCCAGAGAAACAATTAATTTATCAGATGTTAAAATGTCAACAACGACAATATGGATTCAACCAACACCTGAACAGACTGGTAGAGCGATATATGAAATGAGCGAAATTGAACGTGCTTCACAAGCACTATTACTAGTCGACAAACCGAACCGTAAGTGGTAATGCAAAAGTAAACTTGTCAAATTTCATAAGACCGATAATATACTCTATGTGTATTATGAAAGCAATTTATCCTGTTTTGCACTTTTGATATGGAACTGATCATGTTTAAAAATAACAGCAAAATAATAAGGAGAAGTATTTACTATTTTGTGTAATTGGTTCTCATTACGGCTTTAAGTAAAGGCAGAAAACAATTGTGGCAGAATAATATGAATTCATCATGTTTTGTGGTTTCTCATCAGCTGCTTACAACCATATTTGTATTTAAGTGATATGATATAATATGAGGTGATTGACATTGATAACACAAAGAATTTAAATAACAAAAATTACCAATAATGATTATATATATATTTGCGTAAGAACAGGTGTGAAGTCATTTAGAGATAGAGTTCAAAAACCATAGGAGGGGCAGGTAAGGTCCGGAAACATAAGATAGATTGTGTGATAATTATAGAGGATCTGAAGAGTTTTTACAAGATTACGCTCACTTGGGAATAGATATAGAAGATTCAGAGCAATGAGGTGATAATTTTATCGGAATCCTGAACCTTCCAAGTTAGACTGACATTAAAAACCTGGAAGCGCTGGGCAGCCGTTTTACCCTGGTACGAGACTCCTTAGAAGTGCAGACGCACAACCGCACACATAGAAATATAACCCGAGACTAGCTGTCTCGATAACTGTGGTAATTGTCTAGAATTCGAAAGTAAAGGGTTATGTATTAACTATACAAGAACTGAAGAGTTTAAGTTTAGAAAATTATTACCGGTGATATTATTCAAAACTGCGATTTGCCATGATGGTAATAAGTTAATAGTTCTAATTAAATTGAACATTGGGTAGAACTTTAACAATAAATATAATTCTTGTTGTCATATCCCAATGGGTAGAAAATTTGTATTTCTGACGTTTCGTGACTTAATGTAAGCCACCTCTTCAGTTATTTATTTGCCTGAAAAAGTTACTTACATTACGTCACGAAACGTCAGAAATACAATTTTTCTACTCATTGGGATATAACAAAAAATATATTTGATAACAAGTTGATGATTGTCTCTTTCTCGACACATAAATCGGATTTCAATTTTTAATTGTTACTACTTTGATAAAGAGGATGCACTCTGATTTTTTTGTATGCTGATAATTTTGAATGATTGGGGAATTTTAATGGTATGCCCATTACTAATTAAATTCCAAGTTATTGCACTATTTAGAGGCGTTGAGCTTCTAATCTCGAATTATTTGGAACGTGTTTGAAGATGCGAACGTGTACTCTTCTCTCTGTTCTTCCAACATATGTGTTTGTGACGTACATGTCAACTGATAAATGCGGTCGGAACTACTGAAACAAGACACCTGTCGGGTTTTATTTATCTGAAGGAGAAGTTTGTTCCTCATAACATGGTCAGTCTTGCTACTGAATGAGTAATCTTCATTGGGGCATTTACTCAACAGTTAATTATTCCAGTAATTTTATCTCCTTTGAAGCGAAAATATAGAAAGTCGGTTTTCTTTTCCACTATATCATATTTGACACATCTGTTAGTTTCAGTGTACTTCTTAGTGAGTATGCACTCACGAATATAGGTTTCAATGAAGCCAAAGTCTTGTTCCTGGCTATTTTTCGAGCTCAGTTTACGAACGCCGTTCAAAGGGTTTGTACAATCCCTTATTTGTAACTTGTTGTACAGAAGCTGTTATAGTCTTGATAAACTCCACTCCATGTGTTTTTGCGAAAGATTTTTATACGTCGCTTGCCGCCTGAAGTTCGTTTTATTTCACTATTTAAGAAAAGGAATTTCATTTAAAGTCATGTTCCGTATTAAAGTTTGTATCTTTGTGTGTTTTGTTAAAGAATGAGTAGATACGTAGAATACTTCTGATTGTTTTAAATAAGAAACGTGTCACCAACATATCTACAACAAAATGTTGTTCCATCAACTAAGTGCTTAAGCGTCATCTGTTCCAGGTTCTTCATAAATATATCAGTCAGATTTGAGCCTAAGGGACTACCAATGCGAATCCATCAATTTTGTGATACAGCATATTTTGAACTTAAACTGTATGCATTTGGTACATGTGAACAGGAGCTATCTTAGCTTATTGTATGTTAAAAGAAAGAGTTCGGGATACCGACACATATTTCAGCCGTCTCTTTCAAAGAGATCTTTGTGAAGAGTGATGAACGTTAAAAGATACCAAAAATTCATTAGAAACATTGAAGCTAATAACCTTCTGTACAAATTCGAAACAATGCTTTAGGGAGCTAGTTTCTTAAAGAGGAGTTCTAAACATTGCGTCAACCAATGGGGAGTTAATGGAAAAGTGATTTGTCCATAGATAACATTAACCTTTTCGAGATTTCAGGTTTGTGTGCTAATGGTAACCGGTACAAGTAATGATAACTGTGAGTTGATAGTACATAGGATTACCGATTAACTTCTTCGTCGAGAGTCCTCCTGACTTTTTGAAAGTCGCTTCTCTGTAACATCTGTTATACATTTTCAAGTACTGTCGATTATACTGTTGCAAGTCTGAAATTATTTACACATTCGGTTGTTCGTAATTTGTGTAGGGAACGTTGACGCTGATTGAGATTTCATTGTAATCAGTTGACATCAACCCAATGGGACTCGTTTAAATTAGATCTTCTAAACACAAATTTTATGCAACCGACAGATTATTGGGCAAGATTATTGGAATTAAAATTTCAACTACTGATTACTCGGCGTGTGTATCGATAATCAAACAACAATCCATAACGATGCTATTTTCTAATCCTGTAGTGCTCATTTTAAAACAAGAAATTTTTACTTAATTGTCTATATGAAAAAGTATATACTATCATCTCCTGATTTTAACGAAAGCTCTTAAAATGTAGTCGTATTTATAAAGTTGAACTCAGTATCTGATAGTTTAGAAGACGCTTTATTCAGTTACCTAGCTTCAATAGATAATGTGTTAGAATTGATGAGTTATCTAAAACCGGCTGAGATATGTTTTGTAATACATTTACATATATTTAGCTAACTATTGAAAATATTCACTGTTTTAAGTTTGCAAGTGTATTTATTAATTTATATTTTATTTTTAATGATATAACATATCTACCATTTGGATTATATATTCTATCTAGTGGAGACAAATATAGCTCTTGATTATGTTTTACAAGCAGAAATGAATGATGAAAAATTTGTTCCATACATTTCAACTCAAATGTTTCAATTACTAATCAATCAAATCCTATGTATCCCACATCAAACACTTATGATACAATTGATGTTTTACTGAAACGTTTTCAAAATATGAAATCAAGTTCATCATCATTTCTATTAAGTCATATATTTCATATTCAAGTTAGACCACTTGATTTAAATCAATTGTATATGGTAAGTGGTGCCATCATATAAAATTTATTTAAGATTACTTAATAGCTTTAAACAGTAAATCTTTTATTTTTATAATATTCGTCAGTTGAAGAAGTTCATTGAGAAACTTGATCATAATTCTGAAACCATATCAAAAGATCTAAGATAGCCAATATTTTAATTTAAGAGTTAAGTTGAAAAATATAATTAATATTTGACTGATCTAAACTGCTAGCGGTTGCAGGAGAAGTTGAGCATGGTGTTCTCACTCGTGATCTGATGCAGATGCATGACCGAGAGCCTTCAGCTAGGTGAGTCCATTAAAACTAATGTGGTCAGCATCAATGTCGAAGACTTACAGAGCTATTTATTTGGGGATTTATTTATCGCTACAACTCTAATCAAAGTGAAAAAGATAATTGGTTAATGTTCATCAAAATGTTAGTTATTACCTATCGTTAACTTTTAAAAGATGCTAGGGGAATTTATATGTGACGTTGAAGGTTAGAATGTAAATGGGGCTCTTACATTTTAGGACAGAGTCCTCATGAATTTCATATTTTCGATTTAAAATAAAATTAGATAAACTTTTTAAAATACAATTATGTGATATCTCTTCGAATCTAATTATATCCTTCGTAGATATGAAGACGGTAACCTATTAGAAAGTAATTAAATGCATTTCACTTTGACGGTATTCAATGTGAATAAACTATACAGAGTCAATGAAAATCAGAAAACGGAACAACTGTTTTCCTTAATTGAATTTAGTTTTTGATGAAAATCAATCTCATACTACATAAAAATCACCAAGATTGACCCTAAAAGTACTCGAACGAAGTAAATCCAAAAGATTCATTAAACTTTACAGAAATAAAAATCATGATTGTTAGTTACCAGACAGTTAATGATGTATACAGTTAAAAAATTCTATTTATAATTGAAAGCCAATTCCATCCATTAAAGCTTCTTATCATTATGAATCTTTAGAACTAAGGTAGATCAATATGGAGTTAATAATACTGGCTTTGAATAAATTCAAGTAAACCCTTTTCGATATTCATCTCTAACGAACACTAGACTCATCTAAATATTTAAATTTCTTTATTTTAAGTAATCAGTTGTACATATTGTTACCATTATTGTCTATTTTAAATCACTATTACACTCTAACTTTAATTTCATAATGTGATAACTACGTTCGATTTTGGCAATAGGTATGCGGTGTAGGTAACTTATATCAACAGGCGTAAGTAGTATGTAACATCAATCAGAAGTGGAAGGCTTAGCAACAAAAGGTTGGAAGATCGAATTGAAGAGAACAGGAACAGATTGTTATGACAATGAAGGAACGATGAAGTTTGAGACAATTGATGGAGGATTTGTAAATGAATGATTGAACGTATGGTTTTCACATTGGTTGTCCCCACCTGAGTGTTCATTCACTACAGGTATACTGATCCACCCTCAATACAACTAAAATCACCTGTATACTGTTTTATTATTTTGGACTGATACAATTCAATAACCATTATAACTGCTATCTTTTACTTATCGTCATAGATATATCAAGACAGATTTACTTTTCGTAATCTCTACTGGATATTACCAACCACATTGACAATTACACCAAATGAATTAATTCGTGTAGCTACGACCAATCAGTTTGAACAAGTTGCAACAGGATTTTTTCGACAATTTCCAATTTTAAATGAGGAAGACTGTTTAAATCTGAATATTGGTGAGAATATGAGATTATTAATGAGTGAAATATTTCAATGTAATACAAATAATATAACTGTAAGTTGAAAAATACTTACTTTTTTGGAGATCATGGTGAGACCATAATTTCTGGACGACCTTCGAGAGACGTTAAAGTGACCTTGAGAGTCTTCACCTAATAATTGGGACCAAAAAAGGGTTACAAATCAGTGTGAGGAGTTAGAATTATCATTTACAGTTGATGGTTAGAGTTAGGAGTTACATTTAGGGTTTTTTATCACAAACCGACATCAGCTATAATATCAAAACTCTATTTAGTCAAATAGATAGGTGAATTTCGCACCGAAACCCGACTTATACCTGATTAGTTCGTCCATAAATTATAGTCTCGCCGACGATCACTATTAACAATAATCAATACCAAATGATGAATCATTTACTATTAAGAGATATTTGACTAAAAGTTAAGGTATGTAATATATGAACTCATAAACATCAAGAGAAAATTAAACTTTAAATTTACATATGAATGAAGTCACATATTCGAATAATTTTTAGAATGATCAAAAATACAAAACCAGTTGAAATTCAGTTGAGTCGTGCACTCAGTATCTTATCTAATTCTAGATAACTGTTTAATTGTTCAGCTCAGAGAACAACGATTATCATACAATTGGTTTAAAGATTATTTTCATCACAAGTTGATATATGTTGAAGATCCCAATGTGTCATTGGATAAAATAATGAGAATCTATGTATTTGATTTATTAAAGGGACGGATTTACAAGAGATAAACACGTGTAGAGTTGTTTGTATATGTTCTGTAAGTCATAAGATCTTCAGGTATCATTGTTTGATAATCATCAATATCATTTGAACGATAACTAGTATTAATATACCTGAAGTGTTACATACAGCTAGAATTATCTTGCTGTATTTCCACAAAATGGAACCAATCTACTTCCAAATTCATATGGGCGGTCTATACAGCTGACTTAAACTTTTGTAATCAAACGGTGAGTGGTTTTTCTGGTATGATTGGTATTCGAAACTAAGATAGTTGACAAGACTACAATTTATGGACTAGCCAATTAGATTTAGGACAATAGGTCTTGGATTTTGGTGAGAAATTTATTTATCTATTGGGTTAAATAGCGTTTCGGCATTTTAGCTGACGTCAGTTCGTGATTAAAAAACCTAAATCTAATGCCTAACCCTAACCAGCAGCTGTAAATCATAATCCTAATTCCTCACATTGGTCTATAATCCTCATTTAACCCTAGTAATTAGGCGGACATTCTCCAGGTCACTTTAACGTCGCTCAAAGGTCGTCCATAAAATATAGTCTCAGTAGAAAGTCATATCGCTTCATTTGCAACTCATGAGCAAAATTCATATCCATCTCGACATGTGTTTTGACTGATACTTGTACTAAGTGATACGATACTGAATCATAATGCTCATAATCATATCTAATAGATGCTAGTTATTTTTCACACTTGTACAAACATTGTTGCTGTAAATCCTTAACTAAATGTTGAAATTATTAACTTGTTGCTTAGATTCCATATAAACACTGTTTGATGTCGTATGAGTAGAACAAACCTTTAGCTGTTTTTTTACTATCAAGCTTAGTAAAAGAATGTTTCTTTTACTGAACGTCAAGGCTTTCTTTTTCTAAATTTCAGGAGCGTGAATTGGAAGCTGTTTACATGATATTATTATCGAGTCAAGCAACAATTTTAATGAAAAGTCTTTCAATAGACTTTTGGGATATTCCATCTATTTCAGATTGTGATTCGCCTTCGTTTCAGCCCAGACCATATGGTCAATTGTTTTATCGTCTTCTTATTAGTGTAAATAAGTATCTATTGATTTTAATACATTTTATATCATTAATGTGATCAGTCATAAGATGACGTTCAAAATATATTATTTCAATGAAAACTACCCATTGGTAAGCAGTATGATTTCCAATTATTGTAAAAGAAATTAAGCCTTAGGTGATGAATACTTGAAAGTCGTTAAACAATATACAGAATCATAGTTAGTATACAGTATCGTTTTTATGTATTCATTTCAAGTAAATATTTTTACTCAAGGATTTCACCCTGGTTTATATATAACGAGAGAGAGAGAGTGAAACCAAAATAAAGGTCAAGTTTGTTCCTTTATGTTGACATGTAAGTGTTAAATATATTGGAATGATGTATTTTAAAAACGCTAGACAATAATTGTAAGGGGGATAACAAGTTGTTTCAAGATTATAGGTAATTCTTGTGTAAAAATATGAGCTAGCATGAAACTGTTTATTTTCTAATGCCTCCAACAAACTAACATGAATATCTATAAGCACTTGTTCTTTTTTTGTTTTTGATTAATTTTCATTTAATCACTCTGATACCATTCGAAGTACATTTAGACTAGAGATAAAAACAAAGAGAAACACATTTCCTGTAACTCACAACTAATTACGATCTATTAATATGGCAAACAGTAAGCAATACGATGATTTTTAATCAATCTTTCGTAAGTGATACTTTCTGATTAGGATAACCCTTTTTTAGTGAAATTTTGATCTGTTACAAATATGAACCTCAATATTTAAAAATGACTAGAAATGGAGGGTAAGAGGAGACAAGGATAATGAAGAAATAATATGAAACCTCACCACGCTGGATAATAAGCTAATACTACCAGGGTAGGTTCAAGGTGAGAAAGTTCATGGTGCAGTGAGACCTACTGTAGCTTTGGCGATAAAAAGCCTGTCTACATCATCTTACCATTTAGAGGTGATTCAAATAACCTTTTATTCAACAAAGGCTTAAATCATGTCATTAACAAGACATATTGTGCAGCAAAGTTCATTATCAAGAAAACAACAAGGTTCATGCTTAATCGAAAACCTAAATAAAAGAAAACGATTACGTCACATCCCACTGTGTTTACCAATTTAAATGTGTGTGTGTGTAGTCATACATACATAAGGAGGAATAATCGTGATCTCAAAATTAAGGTGTGTGAACATATACCTAAATGATTGCAAAAACAAATAAAATCGAATATCCCCATAAGAGTAGAGGATAAACATCCATCATCCTCTATTGCCAAACACATAATTGAAACAGGTCATAAGATTGAACTTAACTCGGATTTTGTAATGTTGTACAAAAGTGTAAAAGGGCGTATACTAAGGTTTATTGAAACCTTAACCATACGAAAATTCAAACCCCCCTTTGTGTATTCAAAAATAGTTTGTTCTCACCTTAACTATTTTAGAAGTAGACAATAAAACTTACGAATGAACCGTTAAGCATACATACATACTTTCAATAAATTGTAAATCATATCATCAATTATTTCTATTCATTTTCCCATTCATTATATTAAATTTAGCTAGCAGAATTACCAAAATGGAAAAATTTATTATTCTATTCATTGGAAACAGATGTAGAAGGGAGGAGTAAATTTTTATTAACTGGAAATTTCTCAGAAAATGGTGATATTCAATTAAGTGAATATGCAAAATTTGTAGCAAAACAAGGTCTATTAAGCGGTTTATTTCCAAATACATTTCGTACATTTCAAAATAAAACCATCAATATTTCAACATCATTTGTGAGTTTTATAGAAATTTAAAATTTAAATCTAATTGTTTTACTTTTTCATTTTACAAATAGTACCTGATTACTTCTTTTTAGATCATAATAGTGATGAGACTATAATTTATGGACGAACCAATCAGATTTAAAATAAAAGATCTTGGATTTGAGAACGAAGTTTATCCGTTCATTTGGCTGAATATTATTTCGGCTTTATAACTAATGTCACTTAGTGATGAAAACTCTAATCATTAACAGTAAATCACAATTCTAATACCTCACATTGGTTTATAACCCTCATTTAGTCCTAGTTAGTACGTGGATATTTGCAAGGTCATTTTTGCATTGCTCAAAGGTCATCCACAAATTACAGTCTCACCAAATAACTTAATTACATATTATGTTGTAAAATTCATAATTTGATTTACTATTTACAATGAGGTCAGATATTACATCGATCTTCTTGTTGATGATTATCGTTCTTCTACTATTTCATAGTCTTGTAATTGTTCACAATAGAAAATTTTGAATGGAATAGTGAATTAGATATAATAAATGACTTTGCAATTTCAGTAAACATAATAACTTCACAGATAATTCCTTATGTAAATTATCTAAGTTAGCTAATTTAAGCATAAGAGCAAGTGAATAAGATATCAGACTAAATAAAGATCCCAACAGTTGAGATCATGAGTCGGTTGAAGCTAGACCATCATGGAAAACCTGGAAGCACTGGACGGCCATTTCGTCCTATTGTAGGACTCCTCAGCAGTGCGCATCCACGACCCCGCCTCTCGGGATTCGAACCCAGGATCTATCAGCCTCACACCAGGTGCTTAACCAAGTAGACCACTGAGCCGGATCCAACGGTGTTAATGCATAACTTCAACTAATCCACGAAATTGAACGACACATCCACACCAATTGAAAAATCAAGGATTATATGATTTTATTTATTTCAATCAATATGTAATAAATTTTGTGAATTAACTTATATATTTCCATTTATAGGATCCACCATACATTGTACGTGGTCAAATAACTAAAGACAATGAATTACTCAATGCAGAGGGTTTAATTATAGATATATTAAATGAATTTTCACTTCGACTTCAATTTCGGTTAGTTTGATCTTTTTTTTTCTTCTTTAGATGAAATGTATTTGACAACACGTTAAGATTTTGGGATTGTCCGACTTGAATAAATATTACTTCATTACTTTAATATAAAACTATTAGTTACATACATATTTAACTGAAAATCCATAATCATAAACTAATCAAATTTTGTTGATTAAACTATATTCAGTTAATTGGTTTGTGAAAACTTGTGTAACCAGAAGAGAATAGTCTTCATCGTTGACTGATATCAGATGTTACAATCTTGAACTAAACATTTATCCAGTTCACTCCAGGTTGTAATAGTTTACTAATTAATGTCAGTAAAATGAAGCCAGACTAGTCTTTTTCCCAGGTCTGTTAAAGGTCACCTTAATTAAATGAAATTGAACTCAGAGTAAATTTCTTCAAAAATATTTTTATATTCATCCTAATTATTATTTCTTTGAATCAAGTTACCGACTTTTCCTCCCACCTGACGGAGAATATGGAGTGAAAATTACAAATACAACATGGAATGGTATGATTGGTGAATTACTAGCTGGAGTAAGTATTAAAAATCTTAATTAATTAAAACAGGCGTTGTTACCAATCGTTTATCATAGTGGAATTTGGATATAAAGATCTATAATGTTTATAATCTTGACTAATTACTCCATTTTCTCAGCATCTTGTGATATAAATTTAGCCGTTCACGCGTAAATAGGTCAGTATTTTCACCACTGAAAATCACACAGTACTGCTTAACCGTCCAATTCATAGTATTTTGCACACTCAGCTCGGCATAGAATAGAATTCAGAGCCTTCAGCTCTCTCAGCGAATTCGAGCTTCTAAGAAGGAATTAAGCATTCCACGGTGAAAACTTCCAACATACTAAGTTGAGTTTTTAGAGTACTTATTGATTAAAAAGAAAGTAACGCTTTACTTTGCAAGTCAATACCCATCAATATCTATCTAAAACATAATACCACTCAGTTATTAGGCTAAATGACTGGATATCACAACACACTGCGATTGAAGGTAACCACTGAAGTGCGGTAAATCAATATTTTACTCAAATCGTAAACTTAAAAAACTACTTTTGTAATGTTTGTTTTTGCTTCTAATACGATTTCGATAACGGGTTAAAGTAGATAAATAAGACAAACGAAATTTATACAAGACAATCAATTTTGGAATTACCATTTTCAATTTCTTGAATGTTTTTTTATGGAAATCTGAGCATCATTTATAAGTAAAACAACAGTCAATTAAATCAAAACATTAGGCAACTTGTTTTACTGATTAATTATTATATAGATTTTACTCCAGTCCCATGAGCTAATTACTTATATTTAGAAGTTTCACTGGTTGAAATTTAGCCTGTAATAAGTTGAACTGATATCTTGTAAACTCTACCTTTTAAAATATGTTGCTCATTTCTTTAGTTTAAACACAATTAATGTATGTTTTGTCTGTTAAATCAGGATTATTACTAACTTTGATCTAGTTTCAATATAAGTTTGTAGTTATTCATTCGACATAAGAACTTCAACCCTGATGGAGTTTCGTTGTGTGAGCTGGATGGTTTAGTCGACTGACCAATTGCAGTCCTAAACATCAATGGGAAGATTCAAGCAAACAATATATAAATCAATTTATTCTTTGTAGTTACTGATTAACATTAATTTCTCAAATGGGATATTTTTATTTTTAATTTTTAGAGAACTGATATTATAGCTGCACCATTAACAATAAATAAAGAAAGATCACAAGATCTTTTCTTTATTGGACCATTTATGGAAGATACTCTAGGGATTTTATTAAATATTCCCGAACAAAATGAAGAATTATTTCAAATGTTTCTACCGTTTCGTTATGATATTTGGTTATGTTTAATTGGTTCAATATTTATAGCAGCTTTCCTAATAACAATATTTAGTATAATCAGTCCATTCAGTGCATGGAATTTGGCTTTGCCAGGTGCTACTTCTGATGAGGTTTCAATATACCACAGTGTTTGGTTCACAGTTGGTGGTATGCTTATGCAAGGTAAGTTTAAAATGTAGAAAGTTGACTTCACAGATTTATCATCTCAAAATATTCAATAATAATTCAATATGACTTATATAAAATAGACTAATAGAGTTACAATGAACAGATTTTTATATCATACTAAGTAAGGTGTCCTAAAAACATCTTCCTTTTCGAAGATATCATTTATTTAAGCTATACATTTGTATTTATAATTGATTGATAAATATATGAGTCGATAGGAGATGGAAGAGATTACACAATACAGTGATCCGACATTTCAAATATCAAAACAAGATCAATATAGGAGAACCTGATCAACTCTCAACAAGTTGCTCAAAAAGAATCATCATTCAAAATAATCTACACAGCTACAAAAGAAATAAAATAGATTAAAGAGAGGTCGCATCAAAAACAGCACTGATGAGGTGTTGACAATCCACCAATTCGAGTCTGAACTCTGTGTGCAAAAACGATACATCCAATCTCTCATTCTACCATCATCCTAATGCCCTTCTCCACTATGTTTTGATCTTGTTTCAGTTTGTGATAATAGTTTAGTGTCATTTTAGTTGTAATCAGTTATCGTTATTGTTCAACAGTTTCTCATGATTATTCTTCATTTGTTATTATGACCTCTATGCTTTTCATTTCAGTGGACAATTATCTCTATTCTTCTGTAACCCCTTGATTATTACTTAACGTCATTTGATATTTGTAATGTTGAATTACTGTATTGTGTAATCTCTTCCATACTTCTATCGGCTCATATATTTATCCACTAACTATAAATATAAACGATATTAGAAGGGGGTTTTGTGTATATTATAGTAAGTCTAATAGTTGAGATCATGATTCTATTGAAGCTAAACCACCATGGAACACTTGGAAGCACTGAACAGCCGTTTCGTCCTATTGTGTGACTCCTCAACAGTGCGCATCCACGATCCCGCCTAGCAAGGTTCGAACCCAGAACCTATCGGTCTCGCGCGCGAACAAATGATATTACTTGAAGAATTTCTATACTGAATTCTATTTTGATTCAGTGACCTAAGTTTATCAAATTTATGGATAATCTTCAACCAATAGTAGATCCTAAGATCTTATTTTTTATTGTAAGCACCCATTGAATTTGGTTATCTCGCGTATTATTTGAGACAATGAAAATTCATACTAGATAAGAACTCCTTTGAAGGCTAATTATTATTTAAAAATCTATAAGATTATCAAGCAGCAAAATCCACCACATTTTACTGAATCGGAATAACTCAGTAAATCTTTATGGGTTATTTAAAAGTATTTTGCACAATCTAGTGCCTATCAGGACCCAGCAGCTAAGTGGAAAACGCGATGACATGTGGAGCGAACGATACTGGGTTCGAGTTACGGAGTGATTATTAATTCTAGGAAGCACGTAAATCCAGCTTACGAGTCTCAAATAAGATGAAATATACGTCCTGAATTCTACTGCTAACCACCATCTATCTCTACTTATAAAAGTATTTCGGTTGGTATTTAAAATAAACTACTATTAAAAATGTTTTATGAAATGATTTATTAATTAAATGTTTTAGGACAAGAACTGCGTGCCATCGCTTGCTCTGCAAGGACAGTAACACTTCTTTATTGGCTTTTAGTTTTGGTGATTCAAGCCACTTGGCAGGCTGATTTGACAGCTTTTTTAACTAGGAATACAATACAAATACCTGTATCGTCGTTAGAAGATCTTGCAACTTCAGGATTATCATTGGGAGCTATTAAAAACAGTGGTACAGTAAAAATGATACAGGTTTGTTTCTTTTTAACATATTTTCGGGTAACCTAATATTTATTGTTTCTTTTTATGGTATACTTCAAACCAGACAGAAGCAAATTTGTGTGTCATCAAATTGAAGTTATCACATACAGAATAACAGGTCGTCGTAATTCGTCGAAGTTTAAAAAAATACGTTTTCTAAAAATCTAACTTATTCATAACTTGTTTTATTGACCGTTTATGTTTTTATAGTGATAATATATAATAGTGATTTTAGTTTGTTATCTTATAAGTATGCGGATTTTAGCATTTGAGAGTTGAAATTACGGGTCGATCAAAGCTAGACCACAACTGAAAACCTAGAAGCACTGGACACTTGTTCGTCCTAGTATGGGACTCCTCAGAAGCACACATCCATGATCCCGCATGGGAACTCGGACTCAGAGTCTGGAGGTTAAACGGTCGCTTGCGAAACTGAAGGTGTTGGGCTCGAGTCCAACATGCAGAATTGTGGATGTGCCCGGCTGAGGAGTTCGACACTAGAATGAAACGTCCATCTCGTGCCTTCAGTTTTTCAGTGGTAATCTAGCTTAAACCGACTCGTGACCTTCACTTGTATTTCAATTGCTTGTCTTGATACTAATTAATCACTCATTACACAGTATTCAGAAATAATTGCAATTCCAACAACAATGACAGGTTGTGTATATATCTTAAAATGAACCGTAACCTTTATTCTGAGAAGTGAGAATGAATACGATTTGTCAAGGTTTGTGATTTCTCTTTGTTGTTATTAACGACTAAATGTGATCAGTCCCTGTTGGAATATCCTAATACCATACTTGTTTGCGGCTATAGCATCTTGATAGCCTGGTAGATAATGCTCTGGAGTTTAAAGCGATAAGTACCGCGATTGAATTTAAGTGTAGATATCAACACTGAGATCCCGGTAAACACCAAATAGGAAGTAAATATGGGTCCTAAATTTAACTCGTAGCCAATAATAAAGGAGAAAACGGTGATTTCATATTATGAGAAGATAAAAAGTAAATGTACTTTATTGATGAGTGTGCATTTTCCTCTGGTTAACTGTTGATTAAGTTGTATTAACAATAGTACATTTGGTATGTACCTCTTTTCGTAAACATTTTTGTCTTTCAGAGTGCAAATTCCAATGAATATTACTCAATAGTATATGAAAAAATTATGAAAAATCCAGTTATCCTTAAAAACATTAATGATAGTATAGCGTACGTCCGCAACAGTACTAAAAATGTTGTACTAGATGACAGAATACAATTAATGCATAATTTACCTGACAATGAGGAAACTTTGACAGTTGTTGATGATAAGAAAGTTATAGTACCATTTGGATTCGCTGTAAGGTTAGGTGAAGAATACGCTCCACTGATGCTTAATTTGTAAGTTATTCTATATGACAGCATTTTCATTATTATCTAAAGCCTTATTAAGTCACCATACCCATTCGTAACTTTTGTTCAACTTAGCTATAGAGCGATAAAAACTTATATTTCATTGATAATTGTATGATTCAAAGATATATCCCTACAATTAATGTGTGTACAAAGGTGACCGTAGTAACTCAGAAAGTAACATAAGGGTAATGATGTGGATTAGATTATTGTTTCACTTACTCATAATAGTTCACTCATACTAAAATTTGATTCACTATGCTTCCTAGAAATGTAGTTACAAATTGACCGAACCATTCTCAGATAAGTTTTCATTTACAAATATTGATGGGGTACAATACAATGGAATAATTTTCCTTTCATAATGAAACGTAATGTTACAAAAAAGTAACTAACATGCTATTATTGGTTCCTAAATGGATATTTGAAGTGTTAGTCCATAAATTGTTCGCAGATAAATTAACAGTATTTTATTATAACATTTCATAGCTAAACTATTGACTCTGTTAACATACTATAATAATCTATTTAACAACAGTTATTTAGAAATTTTATTGTATTTTTGATTTAGTATGTCAATTCTTCGAGAAAGAGGAGTTATTGATCACTTACTTGAGAAATGGAATGTTGAAAAAATAAAAAGTACCTCAAATACAGCCACTTTCAATTTAATTACATTGTACAATATATCTGGTGCTTTTATTGTACTTTCTGTATTCGTTGTAACAAGCCTAATTGTTTTAATCATCGAAATAAAATGGCATAAATATTCATTAAAGAAAGAGAAACTTCATCCCAAATCAAAAATTCTTCTGATGGTCATCCATCCTTATTGAGACGCTTCACACATCCGAAAGATGAAATACCTAAACCGAAATTAGACTTATCTCGTAATCCTACATTAAAACAGTTAAGATATGCTGGACATAGAAGAGCTTCTGCAGCATTCGACGCTACAGTCATCACAGCTGAAAATCAAACCGAATCCAATTTAGAATAAATGATGATTTAATTATGTGGTTCAAACTTCATATTACAATTCATAATTATAATTTAAAAATAAGTCATCTACAGTAGGTCTTTTTGTAGTACACACATATATATTGTAGTGATAAATATACACCAATTTTGAAATTATTATGTTTAACATTAACATAGAAAAGCTGCATAAATGAATATGACTAGTAATTATAGTTTTGCTACTCTGTTTACTTATTATTCAAAATAAAAGTAAAGATCATAATGAAATTTTCTATCAGAAATGGGTATTTAGTAGTCGGTCTAGTAAATAAATATGATCCGTGAAACTTAAAGGATACAAATTCCGAAGCAATAGGTGGATAATTCCTGAAATTCAATTCCTTATGACTACCAGGAGATTATTTTTAGTAATATTGATTGATCCTTTCATTACGTTATCAGGATTATATACCGTTAACATTTTCTCAAAGAACTAATGCCTTGAAACTTGCAGATCTAACCTCATAAGTTGTCATAGTATGCTTCTGATTCATAATGAATTATTGAATAGAACCATGAGGCATTCTTGTTGAGAATATGGAACGATGAGTCATAGAAACTATGTTTAAATCAAAGAAGTTTATACAAAACATCTATCTAATCAATGGTCATACGCTTGTTATTGACTAGCTTTGTGTTGTATTTCTCAAAGTCATGATGGGAAGCTGTGAATTGTAAAGTCAAACAAATCGGGTGTGAGCTAACTGCTGTCTCGCCATTTCACAAAATGTAGACAAATTGATTCTGATTCAGGGATCTGGAATGGCTATATTCACTGTGAAATGTCTCTTTTACAGTCGTGGATGTACATTGCTATAAAGCCCTTAAATAGGATGAAACGGTTGTCCAGTACTCCTTCGATTCTTCCAATCTCCTCAAGTGCATACCAAACATTCACTCAAACTATTGTCAAATTATATAGAATATCTAATCAGAATTTACAGTAACCTCATACTTATCTCACCTTTTAATTTGTCACAATATAAATCACAAACTAATCACGGTTTATTGTGATGGAGTTCATGACATAATAAATAATCGTCAGTCCATAATTTCCATTTCTTCATCAGCTAGTGTAAACCAGTTTTTTGAAGTTAATGAATCGAGTTAGAATACCTGTTGGTTGGTGCAATTTATTTCTACTTGTTTTATTAAAAAATGTTATCTACACTCTGACTCCTGTTTGTTTACAGAGAAGACATCTGTCGAAGAATCAATTATGAATAACTATTGATAATTAATACAATATTCTGCCAAAATAACAAATATTATGAGTACTCCATATTCTTAATTTACATCAAGTGTCTAAGTATTACAGCCTGATGTTTACAAAAATAAAATATTCAGTGGAAAGGTTAAATGGAGAATTAAGTAGTAGACTACTTAAGATAAGAATAGTATTATTGTTGAAAAGAATCATAATAAATAAAGTTTCGTTATATCACAGTGAAGAGTAAATCAAAGGAAACGTCTGTGATCTATTCATGGATAAATATTATACATATATTCACATTGTAAAACTATTAAGTAGCGAGTATATATATTCATCTTCCTCTTATTATGAGCAATATTTCGATCAACATAATTATTATAACGCTCGTAGTTCTAATATGTTCGATTCCATTTTTTTGCAGAACTCCGCAAACTCTGACAACATAAATTGCGTTCCGTTATCTAAGACCAAAACATTAGGCGTTCCAAACCTACCAAATAGTTGTCTGAGATGCAACAGTGTTTCAGATGTAGACGGTGTTCATGCAGTATAGATTTCAGGCTATTTAAAGTATGAGTCCACCACCACCAAAAAGTATTGCCCGTTTATTGGTCCAGCATAATCGAGGTGTACTCGAACCCAAGACTTGTTCGTCTCTGGCCATGGCTGGGCTTCTACTTTCGGTGTACTCAACGGTAGACACCAAAACTCAAATTTATCTATCCAATCAATACCTAATATGGTAGTATGACAGTTTCCAGAAATATAACATTTGCCGGTGTTTGTCTTATCACCCAATGTGAGAGGTAGCTGCATTTCCCCAAGTACAGTAATATTAGTTCCTGTGGTATTCTTAGCATTATAGTATGTAGGTTGAAACTGAGGTCAACCAAGTTTTATCAAAGTCTCTCTAGAAATTAATGTTTTGTCACACCCCGTATCCACTTGCAACTTAACCGGTTTATCACTAAAGAACGTAGTTGTTTACTTTCTTTGAGATGAGAATTGAGCACTTTTGTGGCTAGAATAATATTCGAGTTATGTGGTATCTCTTGTGACGTCCGATTCTTATTTCCAAGCCAGTCTGTCAGTTCATTATTTCAAGGCTTATCAGCAAAAGTTATTATGTTTCATTTCTGTAAGTATTTTTTGGTTATCATTTCCAAAGTTTAGCTGGTGTAACAGAGTACAACAATAACAACAACAACAATCTTTATTTCTTGAAAATAAAGCCTATTCAATTTACCAAAATAAGTGTTGAGATATTCAGAAAAATAGCCCAATAATTATCATGTTAAGTCTAATGGTGTCCTTGGAATTTAAATGGACATTCATATTGGTCAATGTTTACTTCACTTGTGAAATATTGTACAAATGTTGTTTTCTATTTTATGGTACGATGTGTCTGTTTGATTGGTATATAAACAGAGTATCTTTGAAATATAACGATTCATATCACTGAGGCTGAGACTTGCGTTCTGGACTCAACTGGCCGGGCTAGACAGGGAAGTGGGACCAATCAGAACCCTATGCCGTTCTTACGTGTTTGCGCGTCTTTGGTCCGATCGAAAGTTCGCGCTCACTAACCTCCAATCAGCCCTTTCTCTTTCACGTCATAACAATAAGTCAGTCAAAACTTATCATCTCCCTTGATAACGATGTGAATAACATTAACGCATGGGCCACGTCTAGTGCATTTAAATCTTCAATAAATTCTCATTCTTCTTATTCTGTAAGGGAACGTTTTTAGTTAAAGTATGCGATAAAATGATCTTTCTCAATATTATAGAACAATGGTGGATAAATTAAAATCAACAGATCAAACGAATATTGCCACTATACTTCACATGAATCGTTTAGAAAAAGGCGTAAAAGAAGTTGGAAATGAGACAATTCAAAACTATTTCAGAAACATATTGCAGTTTATCCCAACATTTTAGACAACGAAGTTCGAAATCAAACTAAATTCAGTGTCTAAGCAACCTGAGGATCTTGACTGTGCTTCTTTGACGAAATCAGGAACAAAACGGTCACGCCTGAATCTGCTAAAGAATAATTACTCATCACGTAAATTGTTCGTAGCGTTTGCTCAGACCCATACTTGTATTCACTTGATGCATTTAATTCATTGACGTCAATCTCAAGTCCGTATTATGCGGTAAGACAATGAAAATGAGTCCTTGTTACTATGTTCAAGTGAAAAACTATACTAAGCTGCATTTATCTAATTGAAAAGACAACTTGTAATCCTAATTAAAAACGAAATAATTATTGATTTATTTTGTAAATGATGAATATCAGTAGAATCATTTACAAAAATATTTTGGCATTGAATATGTGCGCTCCGATTGACAGAATCTGACTTCATGTATCCCATCGATAAAACGTTAGGCTCGTTTTATTTTAAAAGATTATTTACAAAAATATTTAATCTCAACTCCATTCGAATTTACTTCGATGACAACTTTACAGTAATCGGTTAAATAGTTTGTTTTTAACCTTTGAGCATGTTGATATTTCATCCAGTTAGATCATTTAATAAACTTTTGTAAAGCAAGGACAATAAACCTGGTAGAATGAGGTGACCTAATTTCACTTTGTGTGCTCTAAATCTTCCACATATGTACTGGTGTGCATAAAGAAATAAATTTTTAAAAATATTTTATCAATCTAATTTAGTGGATAAGATACATACAGTAATTTAGTTCAATAGTGAACAAATGACTATTTTGATAAATCGATGAATTGATCAGACATGATAGAAACCGTTATGTAACCGTGTGCAAGAAACGTGTGAAAACCATTGTGATTACGATAGACAAAATGATAGTAAGTATCAAAATACAACAGTAAAGTGACCATAATAATATTAGCTAAAGAAGGCAAGAAAACTTAAGTAATAAGATATCTAAATTGATAAGGGTTCAGACATTTTATTGAATAAAACTGAAATAATAAGGCCTTCGTGATATTCATTCCAATGTCTACACATTTACATAGATTTAGATATAAAATATTCACTCAATCGACCAACATTATCACCTAATATTTTTCCGAGTGATTCCAAAAACTCCACATCACAATCACACAATAAAACATACCTGAACACAAATCATAAACATGCCATTGATCAATAACTTCACCACAATTGGAAGACCAATAAAATATTCCGGTTGTCCGAACATCAACGGAAAGGCAATAAATATCAATAAACATCCACCTAAATGCCATGACTTTCTCTGTCCAAGTCTCAACTGTCGTTTCATTCGACTGAACAACCTCTTATCCTTCTTTACACTTCCATCTTCACACGTTATCGACTGGTGAGCAGTTGCCGGTTTTTCAGTTAGACCGAGTGGACGATCTGATAAATAACCAATCAATGGTGTGGCTAATCCATTGGCAATCTGACCACACAGTAATAATGCCCCAACTTGTGAACTACTCAAACTGATACAACCTTCATAGAATATGATGTAGAATATACTGATAAATCCCAAAACAAGATCTTTAAGCATTTGACCCGTTCCATAAGCAATTTTACTAATCCACTTCATTTTATTTGTCGTTGTAGCTTGGATAACTGATAATGATTGTGGGACTTTGATGTCACTCATAATTCACTGATTTGACCAAAATTTAAGAGTGAGTTAATTCAAGTGCAGACACTAACTTGTTGAAGTGAGTAAAATTTCAGTGATTTATGCTATTTATCAGAATTGAAATTAGTCTCGTTTAAATACTGTTGTATGTACAATAATTTCGCAGTAATTTTATGGCCTAATTAATCAATATGAACTGACTTGTCTCATTGTCCAATCAGTGAATAACTATTTTGGCTTTTATACTAACCGGCTTGATGAAAGATGAATAACAACTTCATTACAATGAAATGATTCCAATGATATTTCTTACACTATTCATTGAGTACCTTTTTTGTATAATTAAACTGTGTTAGAGAGAAATTTGAGTGACTCATTTCACATAATCAGACATAGCCGAATGTTTCATCTCACATTTTATTCAAAATACTGACTTAGACCTGTGGCTAAAGTTGTAACAATCAAACATTAATGTATTAAGAAATAGCTTTAAAAAAAATAATCTGAATAATTATAGTAACAAAATGGAAGGGAATACTGACTAGTTCAGTAGGTTTTCGCATAAATCATCCATATGACATTGATTATATATACATAATTACTACCATTACAGTAAATCGATTGAATAAGCTGTAGAGCAGGTTTAATACGCGTATTTTATTACTTCTATTCAATGTATTGACTTCATGAAACCGTCGTGATGTGATTGATCCTTCATTCTATTCAAATGAGTGAAATGGTTTAAACATGTAACGAAATGGTAGCGAAAGTAATAGATTTCGATGATCCAATAAAAGCGGACAATAATCACTTATCTCCTGTACTACTTACTTACTTACTTACTTTTGCCTGTCACTCTTCATGGAGCATAGGTCGCCGACCAGCATTCTTCAACTCACTCTGTCCTCAGTCTTCCTCTCCAGTTCTATCCAATTTTTGTACATTTTCCTCATGTCTGTCTCCATCTCTCGGCGTACTTTGTTCTTTGGTCTTCCTCTCCTCCTTTAACTTGAGTCATATTTTGACCTTGTTAATTATTCGCTTATCCATCTTGACTGTTTTTATTTGAGCGTATATGTGTGTACATCTCACATCCCATGTCTAATCACATGTCTGTGGTTTATTTGTCTGCCTATCAATATCAATATCAAAGTCACAATCTTCAATACGAAGATAAATACAGCCCTACTGTACGGAGCTGAAACGTGGACAACTACTACAATTACCATCTAAGTTGTACAGATATTTACAAACAATTGTCTACGCAAAATACTCCAGATCCGTTGGTCGGGTACCATCAGTAACGACTTACTATAGGAGAGAACAAACTGTCTTCAAACTGAAGAGGAAATCATGAAATGACACTAGAGGTCCATGGACACACATTGAGGAAATCACCAAACTGCATCACGAGGCAGGCCCTAACTTGAAATCCTGAAGGGAAGCGGAAAAGAGGCAGACCAAATAACACATTGCTGCGTGAATAGAAGTTGGACATCAAAAGAATGAATAGCAGTTGAGAATGTTTGGGAAGGACAGAGTTGAATGGAGAATGTTGGTGAGCAGCCTATCCTGCTCAATGAGCGCTAACTGGAGTAAGTAATACAATTATATTCAACAATATTTAATCAGTATACAGTTATTTATTCTTAATTTTGTTTTGTGAATTAATGCATGAACTTGTGGCTGAGATTTTTTAAAACGTAATTGATTAATTCAACTAATCAACTGATAATAATCTGTAAAATAATTCCTCTGTGCACAATTCATATCCTGTACTTACTCATGTCTAATCGAATTTAATGACAACCTTTCTTTGAGACTCGACGAAAATGTTTTGTGATTTGTCAGTTATGTTGAAGTCTTTTTATCGACGATCTCAAACTGAATTTTTTGTCTTGTAAAACGTCCACTAAGTGACGCAAATCTGAAAGATTCCATTTTACGTAAACGGATACTTGTTTTGTAACTCGTGATAAATGTTGTCTTTCATCTGTGATCAATATACTGTTTTCTTGAATTCACTCTTGATTTCATACAGATGTGTAAAGTGTTTATAAGTCTCGTTCCCTATCTGTTCAATCATAACTTCAGTATTAACTAATTAGTTTGTAGTATTATTACACATTTAATTAAGACAATTAACCTTGTAATCCTGAAGTATGTAACAGTAAACTACTATTTCTCACTAAGGTTGTGTATACTGTAGTGAACATGGTAGTATCTAATTCGGTGAGTGCACGTCTTAAAGCCTAAAGGGTTGTAAACCCCTTAGCTGCGACCTCCCTGCAATGGGCTGTGGTCTAAGGATCGTGATCCACTGTCATCCCAAGAACATTGTGAGACCGGACCACGAGTACGGGTACTTCTCTTATGCTTTACCTAATTACCTATGTATCCCTAAATTGCATTCAGACACACTTTGCTACATTGAGTATCAACCACTCTTCAGACCGTCTGAAGTGCGCATGCATCTGCGTCCGCTGATATTTCTCGCCGTATTTTTACATCATCAGAGTATAGTAATATGAAGGAGTCAACTATACGTAGGAGATCATTTACGTACAGTACAGAAAATAAAGGACCTAGAACAGTACCTTGTGGTAATACACTAAGTACTGGTCTCCAGGTGGAGCACTTTGATTTTACACTTACTTTCTGTCTACGACCTACCACGAAGTCCTTAAGTCATTTTAGGAGAGGCCCGGCAAAGCCTAGATTTTCCAGCTTCAATAACAGTCGTGGATTTGTTGGAGTTAGACATTAACACCGTTGGATGCCGGCTCAGTGGTCTCGTGGTTAAGTGCTCGCGCACTTTGTCAAATGCTTTGCTGAAGTCTATGTAGACCACATCCACTGATTTCCCATTGTCTAGAGCCATATACATTTCTCCTTTGCTATGAGGAGGTTTGTTATGCGAGATAAACCTGTTCTGAAATGATGTTGTTCGTTTTTTAACAAGTTGTTGGTTTCCACAAATGTCATTATGACCTTTTTGAATATTCTTTCCAGTATTTTAACTACGACACTGGTGAGGCTGACAGGTCTGTAGTTTGATGGAAGTTGTTTTGGTACTGTTTTATGTATTGGAGTGACGGCGGCATCCTTCCAGTCCGCAGGTAACACACCTTGGTCAAGTGACATATTGAGTACCACAGTCAGTGGGGCTGCAGTATATTGCACAATTTGTCTCAGGAATTTGGGGTGTAGTTCATCCGGTCCTGTCGACTTTTCCGTGTCTAAGGTGCTAAGAGCCTTAATTTCATCGTCTTGATCGAAATCCACGGTCAGCAGATGGTCTAGTTCTTCTTCTAGAAGAGGTTCATGAGTGAAAACTGCCCCATGATAGTTTGCCATAGCCTCTGCTTTTTCCTAATCATCCCCTATCATTTCAGGTCCACTATCTTCATTAGTTAGGTTAGGATTCCAATACTACATCCTTGTTCTGTACGAGGATAGTCTCTTAGGCTGCTTGATTACAGATTGTGCCGAGTGCATTTCATATCTTCTCTGAGCTTCCCGGTGTTCAATTATACACCTATTTCTTACTGACCTGTAGCGCTTCATATTACTTGCTGTGGCAAGACTGATAGCAACGTCCCAATATTTCTTCCTTTGTCTTAGTGAACGTCGAATATCGAGACCTATCCAGAGATGGCCATGCTTCTTCTTGTTCTTCGGGACTGTCGAGGGTATATATGGTTGAGTTACCCGATTGTATAACTGCCTGAAATGAGTCCATGCCTCTTCTACTGATGCGCCTGAGTCAAGTTTTCAGTCTTCAGCCGATGCTGCAGAGTTTATCGCCCCCATGTCTGGCTTCCATATGTTATGACGGGCCAGTGCAACTATTTGACAGGCCATCTCATTCATGAATTTGAATAAAATGACTGCATGATTGCTCCTCCCTAGAGGTGGTAGGAAGTTCATTCGACCAACGTCATCACCATATTCGAAGACTAAGTCCAAGTGAGACGAGAAGCTTCGTAAATCATATCTGGTGGGATCCCTAATGTGCTGGAATAAAGCTAGTGTAATTGCAACCAAATGACGATATCGATGACCCTACTTCTAAGTTTACCCAATTTATATAAAGTGCAGTAAAGTGGCCTACTATAAGGCTTTTACCTCTATTATACCAGGACTTAAGTTTGCTTAGGAGGAATTCATCTACTCCACATTATGGCCTGTGATATACTACAACTAATTCAATATATTGCTGTTTTCATTCCAGCTTGCAACGCACCAGTTCACATGTCCCCGAATCATGTGTATGTGTTTCAACAAGTCGTATGGTTAAGGTACTTTTCGTGTACAAGATAACCACGCCTCTACTACGGTGTGATCTATCAACCCTACGGGATAAAAAACCAGTCAACTGACTCTCATTATCAGACACTTCTGACGTTAACTATGTTTCTGCGACAGCAATGATATCCGGGTTTTCTATATGCACCACTTTCTTGAGTTCCGCCATTTTATTAGTACGCTGCGAGCATTTGTGCAGCACACTTCTAATGCTGTGGAGAAATTTAGCTTACCACCAAGAGTGGTTTGGGGATCGTCTTACTCCGAACGTTTACGATTTGAAAACCTTTAAGTATGAGGTTTCTTTCACCGTTTCAGCTGCGCTCATTTATTTCTACTTCTGAAGTTCGTCTCTTAATGCGGCCAACCAGTTTGAGATCCTCACGGACGTATATTAGGAATCCAATCAGTTTGCGTGATTTTCCTAGTGAAGATGCCACAGGTATTTGGAGTTTGACAACGCTTTAACCAGTAACACCTTCTAATATGAATCGTACTCACCAAGTGAAATCAAAAGACAGAAGCGAGGAGGTTCAAAGATATATTAGATAGGTTATCAATTTATCGAGGATACACTGATCTAGACTGGCTAGCGATTGCAGGGGATGTTGAGCATGGTGTTCTCACTCGTGATCTGGTGCGGATGCATGACCGAGCGCCTTTACCTAGGTGAGTCTATTAAAACTAATGTGGTCAGCACCCAATGT